CCTAGGAATTAGTAAAGAACAGGGTAATAATGGCAATAATGACCAATTACAATAATGAGAATAATAATGATAAAAATTCATCCCTTTCTTCTCCCATCACACCAAGAAACTCAAACCCAAAGTCCTCCACATCTGTCAGGGCTCTGTGTTGGTTTCCAAGGCTCCAGAACTGCTCAGATCCCAGTGCCAACCCACTTGCTCTGTCAGAATCCCACCGTGGCCCCCCCACTGCCCCTCACCCCCTGATCATCTAAACCCAGTGAAAAGAACCAGGAGCACAAAATTCCTCCGGAGCATCACAAAGGCTGCTGACGTCAGGGAGGAGGAAGGCTACAGGCCAGGAGAAGGGAAGCTGTGTTTGGAAAATGACAATTTCTGTCTAGGAAAGGCGGCTGTGAAAGGAGCCCTTCTCCAGGAGCCGGCGCCGAACAAGAAAAGCCTTTGAACGGCGGGGGAAGCGGCTCGGCCGGAGGCCAGCCCGCCAAAATCCATCAGGAGCCTGGCTCCGAAGCTGGGAGACATCCTGGCACGGCTCATGGTCCAGGGGAGATCCTGTGGCTTGGGAAGCAGGAAGACATCCTGGCACAGCCGGTGATGCCAGCGGATCCTGCACCAATCCCGCTGTGCTGGCGTCCCCCCCGCATCCCTTGGGACGGGGATGGCACCAAGGTCAAGGTGCTAATCTCTTGATCCATGTGCCAGAAGCTCTGTGGAGAGAACAGGAGAGAAATATAAAACAAAGAGGATAAAAATCCCTATTTTCCCACATGCTCCTTTGGCCAGGGATTTTTGAAGGTTCATCCTGCACCCACAGGCACCAGCTGCACTGAGAGACCCAGGGAAAACAATTCCTACTAAAATCCAGTTCCTTCTTCCTATTAAGTCCCATTGAGTTGTTGGATGATCTTCATTATATCCCAGCTCCATAAATACTGAATTCTCCGAAGGAAGAGGTGGCAGCTCCAGCCAGGAGGATGGTGCCATCTCCTGGCATCCTCAGGCTTCTCCCACCATATCCACAGGATCCAGGATGCTCTGGCCTGGGAATCTGAGGCCTGGAGCAATGGAGCACCTGGAGCTGCAGAGTGTCCCTGGGAATCCACCTGTGATGGAGCCCAATTGAGCCCCCCCACCCCCAGCATTCTGTCCCCTGTGGGATCCCTGGCTCTCAACAGACACAGAGTGCCCCTCTCCAGAATTCCTGCTGAAACACTGGAGTGCTTCCAAAATGCACATTTCTAACTGTCAGGTGGGAATGTTTTGACATTTGTCATTATTGCCCTTCTTCAGCTGGGAGGATTTGCTGAATTAATGGGCAGGGACACCATGATGGGGCAGGTTTTACCACCTCAGTTTTCTTTATCCTGGAAAGGAATAATATTCCTGTATTACAGGAAGTCCTGAGGAGCCCTCACTGTGTGAGCCTGGAAAGGTAAAGCCTCATTTTTGCCCCTTTTTATTGGGAATCCAGAGACACAAACCACAACAAGAGCCAACCCAAAACACAGCAGGGTCTGGTGCCACTTTCCCAGGAGCAGCTCCATGTGCAGGTGGATGGAAAGGAAGGGTTTGTTCAGGCAGAGCAGTTTGGGAACCTCCCACACCTAGAGGGACACACTTGTGCTGATCCTCCCACCCACGGCTTGGGCTTATCAAGTTCCACGGGGGTGTGAAGGATCTGAACACACAGAGCGTTGAAAAAAGCCACCTCAAACATGCCCAGGAACGGAGATGCTCATTCCTGAGGCCAGGAAAGCTTCAAAGAGAGACCCCTCCTGCTGCAAAGAAAGGGAGATGTTGGGAAGACACAGGTGGGATAAACAAAGGGATGCAAATGTGCTCCTCAGGCGACTGGAAGCTCTGGGATTCTGGTATCTTCCCTCTTCACAATCCTAATTTATTTAGGTGATAGACCTCTCCCAAGACTCGGCCTGGCACCAGGAACTCATCCTTTGTCCTCGTTGTCTTCCTTCTTCCTGTTATTTTGGAAGGAGAGGTTTGCAAACCATCATCCCAGTTTGAAGACTCTCTTTTCAGTCTTTAAGACTGAAAATCAGAGTCCTTCTGGAGGTAGGAAAGATATGTAGCTTTTATTTTTCCCCACAGTCCAAGTAACTGGCAGCTGTTCACAGC